TATGTCTGATTTAAATGTAAAATCAGATTTTCTCCCAAACTTGAAACTTACTTTCATCAGCAAAAGGAGATTATCCAACTTTCTTGGATTTTTCAAAGCCTTTAACTTGCAGAGGAGTAAAGACCACCAAAATTAGAGCAAGGGGAATAACTGATAGAAATGTAAGATAAAGTAGGAGATAATATCTCTCGGCCTTTTCATGCTCATTACCTAAAGTGAGCCTAATAAAATACACCCTCACAGGAGTTTGGCAAGAAGGGCTGGTTAGAAATTTTCTACAAAATTATTTCTGTTAATAAGCTTCATGGGAAAATTAAAAGGCTCTGCATATCCCCATTTGTGAGGAGGAATATATTCATCAGGAACTGAAAGCAGAGTTACCACAAGACTCTGCAGCACCATTTCACTAAAAAGAGTTGGCTTTTTAATAAGAAACACAAGGCTATGTTGGTGAGAGCTGCCATATTTAATGATTACTGGTAACTAAAAGGCTAAACTGTAAATGAAATAGATCCCTTACTCACTCCAAAACATTCTTTTCCTATGAGGATTAGTTTTTAAACCAGAAGTTTCAGATTCTGCTCTGGATAAAGTAGCAGTATCTTGGTGCTTTTATGTAAGCTGGATGTCTGAGCTTCTCTTGTAGTCAATGAAGATCTAGGACAAGATATAGCTGAGCCTTTTTAGGTCCTATTAGGTATTCCATCAGTCCACTGCTGCTTTAAAAAGGTCCTAGTCCCCTCTAACTCCTCTGTGTTATTACCTGTTCACTGACATAGATGTTGGGTACCAGAGAACATCTCAAATAGCACCCAAACCACATTTCTATTTAGGATGGAGCCCTCGGTGTAGCCAGGAGAATGGTGCAGCTCACCATAAAGGAGACACATCCATTTAATGTGCTAATTCTTTCTCCAGACTTCTCTGACTGTAATTGAATAAAGCCCCGGGGATCAATTCATTTGTGTAAAAAATTTGAGCTGCACAAGTGTAACCTGCCCAGTGTTAAAACATCTAGAAGCAGGCTGGACTTCAGTCCTATATCCTATATCCTATATCAATCCTAATCTGTACAAATGTTCCAGATGTCACTGGACATATCAAAACACTGTAAACTCTTACAGACAGGAATCTACATTAAATCCCCTTTGATGGTAACAGGAGTTTGGCACTGTTGATATTTACACCTACAAGTTGGCCCCTACACTTATGTACCTTAATATCAGATTTTGTCCTGTTCTGGTGTTTTCTACAGTCTTGTTCAGCATTTCAGAACATTGAAGTTTGTTCCTACCCCTAGAGGTTCTGAGATAATCCCTCTAAGATTTGAAGGTGGTATTCCCACTTTACTTCTCAGGGTTTATTGAGCTGTCAAACGAACACAGTATCATTCCTTTTGTTCCCAAATTTAAAGTTTCGAAAATTGTAGGCCAGAAAGTTTCTTTTCCAATTAAACTTACTATTTACTTGACCTCCTCAGTCTCTACAATGCCCTGAAAGCAGATGGTAACCAGGTGGGGGTCAGTCTTTCTTACCAGGTAACAAGTGATAGAACATAAGGAAACAACCTCGAGTTGAGTCAGGAGAGATTTAGATATTGGATATCAGGAAAAACTTAACTGAAAGAGTGGTCAGGTGTTGGAACAGGCTGCCCAGGGAAATGGGGGGTTCACCAAACCCGAAAGTGTTCAATAATCACGTGGTTGTGGCTTTTGGGGACATGGTTTAGAATTGGGCTTGGCAGTGCTGGGTTAATGGTGGGGCTTGATGGTCTTGGTGGTATTTTCCAACCTAAATGATTCTGATTATATGATTTGCATCTACTGAAAATGAATGAATGATTGAATGAATGAATGAATGATTGAATGAATGAATGAATGAATGAATGCAGATATTGCCATCTTCTGTAATACATACACTAGTTTCTTTTACTTGCAAGATCATCAAGATTTTTACATCTTGGTATAGTCAGTTCCCCAAATCAAGACCCAGAAGATCACACAAGCAATATAAAAATCATGCAATAACATAACTACTAATGAATACCTTTAATTTCCTTTTTCTTGCTTTCTGTTTTTGCAAACTCCATCCATTTGCTTTTCTCTGGACTTCTGAAGACCAGAAATTAAAACAAAATGCAACACAAAATCATTAAATCACCTGACTCCTAAAATTACTTGAAAGGGCTTAAAATACTCATATATATGCTACTCCTGGTCTAGTTTTTACAACTATTTAGAGCATGACTTACAATGGTGATGATTTTTATATTTCTGCCATGCCAGGTATACCTAAAAAGAAAATAAAATTAAACTGAGGTATGTTTACCTCTTTTTAATGCTAAATTATAAAGATCCAGATATTGATACAAGTCCAAACTTCAAGCATCCAAACTTTATGTGATATTATTAATTGATGTCTGCAAAATATTACTTGTAAATATTTAATTATCATTTTCCTCACATTACTAACTGGGGATAAATATAAATTCCTGCTCTGAAAAGTGCCTGGAGACTGATAGATAAACATTCTAAATGCTAGTTATTTGTAAATAGCCTTTTAGAGACCTCTTATAAAAGACTATGCCACTCCTAATGTGAAATGAAAACATATTTCCATACTGAGCACTCGTTTTGGTCAGAATTCACATCTTTTTGGTATCTTCCCTAAGATACCAGCTTTCCTATCAAATAAGATTCCCATATCTAGCAGACAGAAAGGTGACCCAAAAAAATATCTTGAAGCCTTTTCCAGATGGGTTTTTTTGATACTTAAAGCATCCTACCAATTGTCCATGTCCTGTAAAACCTCTTTCCCCTTAGTCCCTACATTTTCACTCTTTTCTAAAAGACCCAGAAAGACTCAGGAGCCAAAGTGCAGAGGAGACAAGTCACTGAAGTGAAATATTCCTGTTTCTGACCCTCACATGGGTCTCTGCATCAGATCAGGATTTACTGATGTGGTGCCCAAGACAGCCAGAGGGTCACTGTGGGGACAAAATCTTAACTGGCAGGGAATGGAAAACAGTTATCTATGCTTGTCAGAATCACAGTGATGTGGGTTTTCTTTTCCCCTCACCCAAACCAATATAAAGTATTGATTTCTCAAAAAATGCCCACAAACTCAAAAATTAGCTTCTGTTCTTTTCATCTTCTTTCTTCTCTGAGTGGGTTTAAAATAACTGAAATCACTCTTGAAAAATTTCCATGGCATTTCAACCTTTGAAATTATTTTAAATTTATGGTTCTAAATGAAAACTAAAAATTTGGAGGATTAGGCAGAGTTTTTTGTTTTTGCATCCCACTTATCAAAATAAATCATTATAACATGAAGGACAACTTGGTTGCCCATAATTGCTTCAGTATTTTGGCCCTTTCATGACCATCTTATACTGTACACATATTCAGGCAAATGGCACCAAAATCAATTGCCTAAAACTGGTTTCTAGTGCCACATGCCATATCCTGTGGTAGTTGGGACATCTTGCAGTCTTGCAGGCTTTGGGGTCCCCAACACAGGAAAGACATGGAGTTGTTGGAGCAAGTCCAGAGGAGTCCATCAAGATGGTAAAAGGGCAGGAGCAGTTCTGCTACAAGGAAAGGCTGAGAGGATTTGGATTATCCAGCATGGAAAAGAAAAAGCTCTGAGGAAGCCTTAAAGCCCCTTCCAGTGCCTTAACAGGCTCCATGATATCTGGAGAGGGACTGGGGACAAGGGTCTGGAGTAACAGGAAAAGGAGGAGTGGCTTTCCACTGACAGAGGGCAGAGTTGGATATGGGGAAGATATTCCTCCCTTTGAGGAGGGAGAGGCCCTGGCACAGGTTTCCCAGAGAAGCTGTGGCTGGCCCTGGATCCCTGGAAGTGTCCAAGGCCAGGTTGGAAGGGGCTGGGAGCAACCTGGGATAGTGGAAGGTGTCCCTGCCCATGGCAGGGAGTGGAATGAGGTGAGATTTAGGGTCCCTTCCAACCCAGACCATTCCAAGATGCTATGATCTTCACAGAGATGGTATCCAAGAGATGGGACTCGTGGAAAACTTGCACACTTCTGGATCTACATGTTGCAGCCAGGGACAATAACAATAAAATTTCAGTATTTTAAAAAACATCTTATGTAGATGATTAGATGAAAGGTACAACAGGACAAATCTATACCAGTAAATTCAACACTAACTACCAGGGAAGCATTGTTAGGACTGTGTTATTTTTGCCAGTAATTGGTTAGGATTGTCCATTAATCCAGCCTAGCTAAACCAGCCCTATGTGAAACGTTTTCTGTTAATTCCTTGAGCATGGATATTGGCCAAGGGTATTGGCCAGGGTCTATTCCCAACAGGAACTTCAGATCTCACCCAGTTGGATGGTCCAGGAGTTTAGCAGCAATGAAATGGCCAAATCATGCCAGTTGTGCTGAGAGGTGGAGGTGGTATCCTTGGCTGTGCTGAATTTCCTAGTACAGATGCAGCCATATCTTCATGTAGAATAACCAGGTCATGTTTAAGAGCTATAATATCGCAGAATTATAAAGGTTGGAAAGACTTCCAGGATCATCAAGTCAACCAGGTATGATCCAGAATTGTGAATAAACCACACAGAATTCCTTTTATTTACCCAAGAAGTGTGAGCCAAACTTTATGACACTGGAAAATTAGCAATGCTGGAGAGCCAAGGGCATGGATTCTGTCTTGGCTTCTCTGAAGTCAACAGCCCTGTGTCAGTCTGCACTTGCTGAGAGTGTGTCCCATGGTGTTTCAGAACTGAGGCTCCACCAAAAACAACCTTTGAAGCTGTATGCAGTCTGCTCTTTGGCTCTATTCCTTTCTTTTCTGTTTCTCCCACAGGTAATAAATAGTTTAGGGAGCAAATCTTGAATTTCACTATAGCAAAATGAGCGTACTGTAAACTCCTCGGTGTTTGTGAGCGCATTGATATTTATGTGTGTGTGTGTATTTCTTTCCTTTTTTTTTTTTTTTTTTTTCCTTCTGTCTCCTTCCCGTTTGTAGTTTGATCACTCATGGTTTTGGAACTCCTGCAATATGTGCTGCCCTAAGCACTTTCCAAACTGTTCTCAGTGAAATGCTGAACTACTTGGAAAAGCACACATCGCACAAAAACGGAGGAGCGGCGGAATCCGGCCAAGGACACGCCAACTCGGAGAAAGCCCCCCTGCGGAAAACTTCAGAGGCTGCTGTGAAAGAGGGCAAAACAGAAAAGACAGACTAGCTACATCAAACAGAATCTATTTCGAGAGAGTCTTGCTGCTGATATTTTTTTTAAATATATATATCATTGAGGGCAATTTATCTCCAGTGGACCGAATCCAAAAAAAAAAAAAAAAAAAAAAAAAAAAAAAGAAGGGGATGGGGGAAAAAAAGGAAAAAAATAGTAAAAAGAAAATAAAAAGAAAATAAAAAAGAAAGATTAAAACAGAGAGAAAGAGAGAGCGTGCGAGAGGAAAGTATTCAACCCTAAGAACAGCAGTGTACAGTAATTGTGTGATGAAATTGTCACTTTTTTAAAATTTATGTTGCTCTAAACTGCTTTTTTGTGCACGTAGTATTTGATTGTTCTGAATGATACACTAACACTGTTTTTTATAAGCACTTCTGGACTTGGCTGAGGTGGCACATGAAATTTGAAGCACTTTCTTCTCCAGCAGCAGGGTTAGGGTCAATGCATCGGTTGTGGGACACCCGGTTCCAGCATCCTGACTTTGCTTGCATGCTGGATAGATTGGAAGAAGGGCTTCCTCTGGTCCATTGGAAATGCCTGATCTGCTCACCATTGGGAAAACAATATGGAAATCTGGAAAAAGAGGAATTCTTGGGTCATGGGACAAATGAACCGTCCTGTATATGGGAATGTACAATAAAGCTGCGCTGGAATGAGGCCAGAACCTGTTGGGAATCTGTCCAGACCATTGAAGCAGCAGCCATGGTGTCTCTTGTGAAAAGAGCATGGCAGACTAAAAGGAAAACAAACCTTGATAGTCTCAGTAAGAGCCCTGATACCTCTGTGAACTTCAGTTTAAATGACAGCATGGGCTTCTGTCCTCTGTTTTCTCAGCCCCTGGTCCCACAGCACTCTGCCGTACCTGGGTCTCTGTTCAACACAATCAGTGCAGGCAATTAGAGTCACCTTTTGTGTTGCCTTGATTTTATGATGCTTTCTTTTCTTCAACAGCTTGTTTCTGCAGCTTTATTGTCTTTATAAATCCAGATGAGGTGCAGAGGTCTAACAGAATCCACTCAATGGAAATAAAATAAAAACAAAATGACAAATAGGACAGATTGGCTTAGTCCACAGCAGCTGAGTGGTAATAACCTTGCTAATGTACTTTTGAAATATTACTTTACCACCTACCACACATCCTCACACAGAAAACATGGGAGGTATAGTCTTGAGCTCAAGACTCTGAGTCTAGGGACTTTTTCCAGTCACATTCTAACTCCTTCTTCAACAAGACCTTTATTCCATTCTTTTTCTTGTTTCTCTGACATCACCTTATTGAGAAAATTAGGAAGGAATGGTATTACTGGAAGGGCTTGATGTTGTCCATCTAAACTCTCTTTAAGATCAGCAGAACCAGACCTTTTCTTCCAAGGGACAATTCATAAACTCTTTCTGTGGTAGGAAAAAATATAGTTGTCCATGTGTAAATGTTTAGAGCCATTTGAGATGTTTTAGGTATCTAAGACAGCCACAGAGTTGTGACAGTTATGACGTGAAACCTTTAGGAGAACTGGACTCACCTGGAGGAGGAGATGGAGGATCCCAGAGACAGCACTAGATAACTGGGTGGCAAAAGCTGTCACACACATTTTCACTTTCTAGAAGCTGTTAGTGTGCATTACACCTTGGATGAACACTTTAGACTAAACCTAGGGACTGCAACAAATAGCTGAGGTGCTTAGAGGCAGATGCAAGGAATCAAACTGAATTAGCAAAACAACCCTCACTTTTCAAATTATGGAAGGCAGTAGAGCAATGATGGCGTGATGCTCTTGTTCTCAAGGTCAGTAAGGACATTGCCATCACCAGGAGAAAGCACTCTAGAAAGCAAGGAGTCCCTGATTGTTTATTTAAAGAAATTTGGGGAAAAAAATTCTATGCTTTTGTCCAGATTTGTCCTTGCTCAGGGTAGGTGTATAACTCAGATGCCTGCTTTAGTGCTATCCAGCCACCATCCTGTGTTGAGGGAAACAGGTGTATCTCCATGGGATTCCATCTCCTTAATACCCCAAGATCAGATAAGTGCCTCAAAAAATTTAACTTTATTGAACGAATTTCATTAATTTTTACTAGTGCTTTTGAAGAAATGATAAAATCAAATGAACAGTCCTCAGAGATGTCTTCAGCAGGAACGTTGTGGAACTGTCCTAGAACATTAAATACTTGGTGTGGACGTAGGTAACCATGATTAAAAGTGAAAAGGAAACTCATTCTGCTTTTTCTATTGCCCAAACTGAGGGAGAGGAAAGGGAAAAAATGAAAAGTTTGACAGTGTCAGCTGTGCAGATTTGCCACATCTGTAAAATATGTGCTGTAAAACAATTTAATTTGAACCTCTATTTCAAGATGTGGTTTAGTTTAAATTAGAATTTGTTTGGGCAAAAAATATATGGAAAAGTTTTTTAAAATCCTTTTCAGTTTTTTCCACTAAAATATGAACTTCTTGGAGAAGGAGGAATAAATGTTTGGGTAAATAAATCTGTGAAACTGTTGGGAAAGCAGCATTTTATTACCGTCAAATTAAAATGCTTAACATTGGAAATATTATGTATACAGCCTTATATGAATTATTTGCCTATTCAGGATATGGTCCAAGGTCCCAACAATAATTTATTTCAAGGCTTGTGACTCTCACTGTTACATAATCACTATGAGTGTCTGCTCTGCAGGCAACAGATTATTTTTGGCCTGGATTACCCTTTGATCTATTACTATTAATAAATCTGAGCACACTTCAAGCTTCCAAGAACTTCCAAGTCTTGGCTTGATGATCCCTGTATATTTTTGTTAAGAGTCCATACAGATCTGATTCAACCTGATTGAACAGCTATATGTTCTTACCATTAAGAAATTGTTTCTATTTCCATGTCAAATATTCTGCTTTAGCACATTTTAATAGCAAAATTCTTTGTAAAATGTAGCTGCATATTTTCTGACATTGACAGGCTCTTTATTTTCTATTTTTAATTGCACTTAATAATTTTATGGAGCAAACAATAATTATTACTGCCTTTTCTGCTGAACTAGCTATTTGAGCAGTTTGGTGTCAAAATGCATTTAGTTTTCAACATTGGAACTTTCAGTAATGTCTTAAGCAATGAATTCACTGATGTTCCTGTTAAAATCTCAGCCTAGGTTCTCATCCACTTGCATTCCCATGCTGTCCATGGGAACATGCCCATGTTCCCATGGTGTGCTTTTGGGGGTTTTATTATTTTCTTAGTCCTTGTCTCTGTGGAAACACTGCCATCTCAAAACACATTCATCACCTAGAGAAACCTGAAGGAAGTTCATGATTTTAAGTTGGTGGGTGCTCTCTGGTGTCAGATTGAAGTATACTTGTACCTCTTTGATTTGGGAATTTATCTGATCAGAAAAAGAGGGGGAAAAAATTCTTCCGTTAAGAGATTATGGAAGTGTTTATTCAATGTCAAAACCATCAAAGGAGTAGAGAAAAGTCTCCAAAGTTTCATGGCCAGGCCAATGAGTCATTATGATTTTGTTGGACCCCAAAAATTGATTCATAACCCAAGTACTGTCTGAGTAGTTGGATCCTGTTGTGCTTCAGCGCATTGCTCAGCATGAGTTATACCTTTCCCACCACCTATCTCAAAACATATAAAGTAGGTCCCTGAACTTACTCCTTATCCTAAGTCCTGGCACATTTGACTCACAAAGACCAGCTTCTGACTCTTGGATTTATTAGCTAATGACTCATGGAGCAAACACACTGACTAACTACAAACTTATATTTTAGAGCAAGGTGTTACTCACTGTTTGAGTACAAACAGCTCTTGTGCTGACTAAGCTTAGAAGGTGAGTCTGGCAGAGCAGGAGGAACATTCTCACCTCTGCCCTGAGATTTGGTTCTCTGTTCACACAGCTCTCATTTAGCACCATTACATGACAGACATGTAATGCAGTAAAGGGAGAGTTTTATCAGGTGGTGAGAACTGGAACAGAGTTCACGTGGCCTGTCAAGAGGAGGGAACCACAGACAAGCAGTGATGACTCTGCCACCTACAACTGAAGGCTGTCAAGGGCTTTGTCCTTCGTGCTGCCATCTTTAACCCTAACTCCTTCTAGATGTCATTCTGTTGCCTTGGAGAACTGGCAGAAGGGGTGAATTTAGACCTTTCATTTGCTTCCTTTTTAAAGATAAACGCCAACATTTGTTGGGAAAAGACTTCAGCTCTCCAAATCAACATGGAATCTGCTCTTTGAAGCTTCTCTTTGACTTTTCTTAAAACCAGAAAAATCTGCTACATAGCAGGCACAATGTATAGCCCTTCCAAATCCCGGACCTCTGTGTAAATATTTCCCCAGTTCATCTCTTCCTTTGGACGTGACTCAGTGGCACAGGTGCAGCTCACAATTTTGCAGCCAGGCTCAAGAAGGGCTGTTTATTGTCCTAAGAGCCAGTTTTAACTTTATAATCTCTAACTGCTATTTTTTGTTTGTTTGTTTGTTTCCTAATACCAACAAGCAATTTTGGTCTTAGATGTCTTAGATATCCCAAAAGGGCTGCTGGTGAATTCCAAGGTCATTTGACTTTCATTTATGCTTTGAAGAAATAGTTCTGCTGCTCTGATTCTTTATTTCTAATGACAAGAAGGAACAGCATTAGTAGAAGGCACAAGCCTGCAACACAAGGAAGAATCAATAAATTATATGGAACTGTATTTATAAAACTATCCTTTGCCTCTGCCCTCATTACCAGTTTAACAAGGATTCACATACAGCTATGTGGGGAATGAGGGAGGAAGATGAAGTCATTTTCCTTTGCCAGGTGAAGGTCATTTGGAGAAGTCTGATCTTTTTTATTGCTATTCTTTACTTTTCTTTATTTTGTACAATGAATTCTGTTCTGTACAGCAGCTGTTGTGATTGTATTTAAATGTGAGTGTGCACTTGGTCACCAACAAACAATGTCCAATTAATTGCTTTGGAGTTTTGGTTTGGTTCTTTTCCTCCCACTTAATTTAATTTATAATTCAGTGGTGAAAAACATAATCTTTTATATTTCTATTTCCTATACAAGCTACCTGTTTTACATGA